TAACATAATAACACAATAACGCTCCAGGCTCCATGCTCTCCACGTCCACGAAGCACAGCATCTCCACGCACCACGCGGGCTACGTGCAGCGCATGGAGCTGCTCATCCACGAGCTCGCTCCAGCCGACGTGGGGGCCTACACGTGCGTCGCGCGTAACTCCATGGGGGAGGTGGCCTCCACGGTGTCTGTGTACTGTGAGTGGGTCAAGTGGGGCAAGTGGGGCAAGTGGGGCAAGTGGGGCAAATGGGGCAAAAGGGTCATGGAAGTGGGTCATGTAAGTGGGTCATGGAAGTGGGTCATGTAAGTGGGTCATGTAAGTGGGTCATGTAAGTGGGTCATGTAAGTGTGTTATAAGAAGGAAAGGTTATTATGAGGGAAGGGGGAGGGGTTATTGTGAGGGAAGGGGAGGGGTTATTGTGAGGGTCAATTTGTGGCGCCCTTTTGTCGTATTTTCCCTCGGGTACAGATACTCCGCCACTAACAACGCCACGCCCGCCAGCCCCACACTCCTCCCAGCACAGGCCGCGGAGGCCTACTAAGGCCCCGGACGACCAGGACTCGTGGTTGCCAGAGGCAGGAAATTATCAGCCAATCGACGCCAACGACGACACGCATTTAGTGCCGCGTGGGACGCCGGAGGGAAAGCATGTGCACGGCTCCCGTGAAGATTATTCTCAGCCAACCAATTCACCCGAAAAGAACAACCTGCAAATTTTCGTTGGATTTGGTCGCAATGGGGCGACCATTTACCATAAAAACAACAACGTATTTTTCATGAATCTTGTTATTATAATCATGAATTCGATCTTTTCCCAAACGAGAACGGATTCGCTAATTTTTTCCCTATTTTCAATCCGTTTTCTGCGCACTTGAAATAAATGAGGAGTAACTGAAATCAAAATAATGTATCGCTGATATATTATCATAATAATGATCTTTCGGACGCTTAATCGAATTTCATATATCATGAGGTTTAGTGTAGGGTTAAGGTTCTCATGAATAGATTGCGTAACTATCGTTAAGTCATAATCATATATGACAAATTATTTCTTACAATAAGTATCATAAATTTCCGTGAGATTATTTAATCATAATCATATTTCGTAACCATAACTATCATAAAAAATTTCTACTGTTATAAGGAATATTTGATGACTGTTTAGAAGTCGTTAGTGAAATGAATATAAAAAAAACAAGCAGTCTAAAATAAATCATAAATTTGAAAAATTTAATGATTTTTACATTTCTTAATTGATATTTTCTTAAAAAATACCATTTGGGTCACGAATAAGAATATTTCAGTTTCCCATCAAAAGATAAAGTTGTGCGTCGTCCTGAAAACATGAGCTCCAAGGGCAATATATTTTAAAAATTCTATTACAAAGAAATTCCAATGCAAGGTTTTTGTTTCAAATTGTATACATAAAGATATATATTTTTCATGATAATTTTAGATTTTCAATCAATGTTTTTGGTACGAAAAATGTGGATTTGCGGTTTAGTAATTTTTTCTTATTAATTTTATACGAAAATAAGGAAAATTTTAAACTTAGGAATATACGGGCTAAGAAAAATTAATTGAAATCAAAACTTCATAAAACGGAAGAAAATTAGGGATAAACTTAACTTCTTAAGTAATGGATAAAATCAAAATGAATTTTTATGTCAGTTTCCTGGACATGAATCCATATATCATTCACTGAGAGAAATCAGTGTGGCTTTGTCCAAATATCAATGCACTTCTAGCCCTTGCATGGGTCATCCTGACCCAGTTTTGCCCGGCACAAGGTACGTATCAGTGCTACAAGCTGTGGGTAAGCAAGCGTATTTGGACAATATCAGCCACACATTTCTCCCAGTGTTCGCTCGATGTATAAACAGCAGGTTTAGTTACTAAAATTAGACTATAGAATTAGCCTTTAAAAAGGCCTAAGGCTCAATTGTAAACGTAAGTAACGTCGTGTTTTTCGTACATAATAATGCTAGTTTACATAATAATGTTAATATATATAATAATAATATATATTAATATCATTATCTATAATGATAATAATGTATATTATAACGTTATTATATATAATAATGTCAAAATATATATAAAATAACATTAATATACATATAATAAAGTTACGCGTGAGCCCTTTTTCGCCTACCCTCTTTATCTTTTCTTTACAAAGAAGAAAAATTTTTTCTTTGCAAAAAAATAAACGAAAAAAATTTTCTCAAAAAATTCCTATGTTTGAAAATACCTTTCATCTCAGCTGGAAAAATTTAATAAATTTCACTGAAATCTTGTGAATTTTCGTCGAAGTGTATATAAGATCGATTTCTTCATGTGTATTTATATGCTTCTTTGTGTGTTTGTGTTTATAATGTATTAAGTGAATTAGAAAATGAAAAATTAATGACATAATTGATTATTGCGCTCAATTTTTAATTTTATTAACAAGATTGGAATTTTTCAATGAAATTTAAGGATAGCACTTAATTTAAATACTCAATTGTATATATTGAATGAATCGTATGAAGTGAATACATTGAATGCAGTAAATGTCTAAATATCATGCACGGTTTTGTCGCTCATTCATTATGTCCCGAAGAGTTCAATACAATTTTGAATTTCGTGTTTTTTCTACTTCAATATTTTAACTTCTCAGTTTATCTATCAATGTTATTTATTAACTTCTTAAAGTTTCAACATGTAGTCAAAAATATTCAATTTTCACTGTTCTTGACTCTTTTTAGCGCATTTTCTGATTTATGGAAAAAAAGCACTATTGTGCTCGCCATGTCTGTCCGTCCGTCCGTCCGTCCGTCCGTCCGTGACCTCAAGTTTTCGTCGATGAGAAAATGCGCTCTCTGTCACTCACTGCAGTGAGTACAGAGTTATATTTTAATTAATGTAATAACAATTCATTTTTAATTAATAATACTAATTTCAAATTATAATTAGTAATTTTTTAATTTAGATGCATATTTATCGCCGAATCTTTAGGGAACGCCTCTCCTACATATAACTACGCTCAGAAGAATAAATGGGTCACATTGTCCAAATACTGACACACTTCTTGACTCAAAGCACGTGGCAGAGTGAGCCGACGTAGCACTGATACGCCCTTTTGCCGGGCCAAACTGGGTCAAGATGACCCACACAAAAGCGCAAAAAAATTTACATCGATATTTGGACAAAGTTGTCCTCATTTCTTTGAGTGATAGTGCCAGTGCCGTTCATTTGCCATTAGATTGCCGGGAAGATTCTTGATAGAAAGGAAAGGATAATAGATATTATAATTTGAAATACCGATATTATTTTTTTTCGAAAATTTCACAAACGCTAATTGTTCTTAAAAATCAAAATCGAAAACATGCCGCTCATCTTTATTATTTACGTTACACCTGATTTTAACTTTCCTAATTTCCATGGGCATAATTCATAAAAGCGGCCTTTATCTACCACGATTTTTTAAACCAAAATTTTGTAAAAAAAATCAGCCGTTTACTTTAATAAAAAAGTCGTCTACAGAAGTTTCTGAAAAGCCTTCCATAGGTAATTAAAATTCATGGTTTTATATAAGAAAATTTCAAAATGTTTTTATTGTTTATTGATGTATAAATACTATTCATTATACTTAATGTATACTTATTCTTATTCAAAAACCTTACTGCAGCAACTGTCATAAGCATCACACATGAAACGTCGGGTCATGATCGGTCATCGGGTGGGATTACGGTCCTAGGGTTTATAATTTTTAATATATTTAAATTTTCAATATATTATACTTTCAAATGTGTTTTTATTTCTAGTATTTCAGACTTTAGCAATCATGCAATATTATCTCTATCATAAATTACAATGATTAAGAAAATCTAATCCGGTCGACAATGACACCTCCAGGAAACATTTGCAAATAAGAAAGTTTAACCTAAAATAAATTTGATTTTCTTCGATGAAGTTTTCTTTCAAGCCCGATTCAAGCATTGACTATATTATATTTTACTAACTTGATATTGATTCAAAACAAGTAAATTTTGCTTGATGATTTATATCGGAAACGTTTTTAACTTGAAATTCTTAAATGAACCAATCTCAAATATCAATAATAATAATTTAATATTAATACATTATTATTACATTATATTATGAAAAAATATTATTATGTTCATATTATAAAAAGCAAACGCTCAACAGACAAAAAATGTTGAACAAAGCGAAAATTTAACAACGAAGGTACCTCGACATTAATTTTGATATTTCAGAAAAAAATTTAAACCAATCTTAAAATCTTAAACTTAATGAAGTCGAAGGCTGGTCAACAAAATGAAATTTTACTTCTATTCAAGAGAAATAGCAATGAAAACTTTATTCTCAAAACAAACTGGCGACAATTTATTTTACTTATTTATTTTAAAGTAAAATTAGTGCAAAATACCCTAAAAAGATTCTGCAAAACTTAATTTTAAAGGTAAACTGGTGACAATTAATCTTATTTATTCATTTTAAGCAAAATTTGAACGAAAATAGCCTAAAAACATACTGCAAAACTACAGCCCATTTCCTGACGGGATTTTGAGTGAGGAATTTCCCCTCTTAAGAGGAATTGTACTTTCCCTTTCCCCTCGAATGTTATGGTCGTGTTAGGTTCAAGCCCCTCACTCAAATAAAATCCATGGGTCAAATTGTTCAAATAGCAACCCACTTTCTTCCTCACAAAACACACTGAGTAAACAAAACACTGATACGTCCTTTGCCTGACAAAACCGAATCACTACGCCTCAAGGCCCAGAAAGTGCACCTATATTTGGACAAAGTCCCACCCATTTATCTGAACGTATGGGTATGGTAGGGGTAATTTTTCTTTGAGTGCATAGGGGGGTAATTTGATCCCCCCGTGGGGGACTTCTCACTCCTCCTGGGGGGTGATGGAGATGTTGGAGGAGCCCACGATGTCGGTACACCTATAGGCCCATAAAGTGCATCGATGTTTGGACAAAGTCCCACCCATTAATGTGAGTGCATGGTGTTAGGGTAATTTATCCCCCACGTGGGGGACTTCTCACTCCTCCTGGGGGGTGATGGAGATGTTGGAGGAGCCCACGATGTCGGTGATCTGCTTGGAGGAGAAGGTGACGACGAGGGGGCGGTCATCCCCCAGCACCTTGCCCTCCAGACGCAGCGTGTGGGTGAACAGAGCCCCCGCGTCCACGTCGGGGCTGGGGGAACAGATGCCATGATTAATAATAAATTAATAATGTATTTATTTTTATTATTATTAATATATTATTATACATATTTATTAATATTAAATTAATTATAATTATTAGGACTGCAATAGAGACAGCAATAATTAACATAAAACTATAAATAATAACAAGCGGTAATTATTATGACAGTAATCAAGACAACAATAATTTAAATAAACAATAATTAAAAGCAGGAGAGATTATAAAATGGGACACATAATTAAAATGATAACGAGGAAATAATCATTAATAAATACAGAAAAAGAATTATCCTGGGGAGATTTGACCACCACACCCACACAGAGGAGGAGAGGAATTGGCCCTTCCCGTCTCACCCATATAAAAGGAAAGGGAGTTTCCATTTCACCCATTCATCTAACGTGGTGCTGTAGGGGGGTTAAGGTGAGGGAATGGATGGGGGGGGGGAAGGGGTGATGGGGAGATGGGGGATTGGGACTTACACAGGGATTTTCTTAGGCCTGGTGAGGCCGGGCCCGTCGACGACGATGAAGGCCTCGGTGAGCTTCTCCTTCATGGGGTTGGTGAAGCTCACCTTCACCACCAGGGGCTCCCCCAGCGCTGAGGTAGTGGGGGTCTGGGGGAGGAAAGGGGGTTAGGTTTTGAGTGGGGGTCAGTGAGTGAGGAGATGATGAGACGGGACATTGCTGTTTTGGACAAGATGTGGGAAGGGGGGATTGGGACTTACACAGGGATTTTCTTAGGCCTGGTGAGGCCGGGCCCGTCGACGACGATGAAGGCTTCGGTGAGCTTCTCCTTCATGGGGTTGGTGAAGCTCACCTTCACCACCAGGGGCTCCCCCAGCGCTGAGGTGGTGGGGGTCTGGGGGATAAAAGGGGGTTAGGTATGTGGTTGAGTGGGGTCAGTGGGTGAGAAGATGAGACGGGACTTAGACCCCCATAGATCCCCACACCGAGATTGGTATGGGGGTCTGGGGGAGGAAAGGGGGTTAGGTTGGTGGTTGAGTGGGGGTCAGTGAGTGAGGAGATGATGAGACGGGACATTGCTGTTTTGGACAAGATGTGGGAAGGGTTGCGGGGGGATAAATGAGAGACGATCTAATAAAAGTGAATGTGAAGTGCATTTTATGTCAAACCGAGCTTGCTGGCTGTCCAGAGGCTGCTCTTCAAGCCCGGCCGAAGCGGACATTAGCGGCTGATTTGCGCGCTCCCCGAGTCCTGGGCGGTGTCTCAAAATTTTGATAAGGGTGAGGGTAGTGAGCAGAAATTGCGGTATATTGTTATTAGTGCAGTGGTACATACAAAAATGGCAGAGAGACAGAAGCACGAAAAGAAATAGTCAAGCACACTTCACTAGTGACACACGGTTAGGCTGCAAATCGTAGAGGCTGAAAAATAGTAAATATAAAGGTTTCAAGAAATATGAACCAAAAAAGTAGTCAACAGGGGGCCTACCATTTTTCGTCCATCTCTACCGGGTTAAGTTTGGGTTTAAGTATCTGGAAGTGTTTATACCACTCACCACGCACCACGCAACACGCACAACGTAGGCTGCCAAGCACCGCGCACCACGCACCACGCACCACGCATCACGCACCACGCACTACGTACCTCTACCGTCAGGTTAGGTTTAAGTATCTGGAAGTGGTCGTCTTGGATCCAAGTTTGCGTGGTCTCCTTCACGCTGGCGATCGCGAGTATCTTCATCATGCCGTGCTCGACGAGCTTGTCGATGTAGTCCTTGTACCGTACCGGGAGCCGGAGGGACTCCTCTGTACCGGTGCAAAAGGGGCGTTATAAGAGGAATATTTGGAGCCGGAGGAACTCCTCTGTACAGGGACAAAAACGGCGTTATATAGAAGTGAAATTTCTGGTCCCGGTACCGTACCGGGAGGCGGAGGGATTCCTCTGTACCGAGCAAAAGGGGACGTTAGAAGTGGACCGGAAGAAATGAGAAATTCTTTGTGCAAATTTCGATGCACTTTTTGTTATTGTGTGGGTCATCGTGACCCAGTTTGGCCCGACAAAAGTGACGTATCAGTGATACGTCCGCTCTTTTCTAGTACTGTGGATTAGAAAGTGTGTCACTATTTGGACAATACAACCCATGCATTTTTATGAGTGCTACAAGCAAATCGACCATGTTCCGTATATATGGAGTGCATATATGTAGTTTGTGCCGGAGATTGTATTCAGATTTGAAGAATTATGTATAGTTATTTTTCATGAAGCTAACAGCATTGTGTAATTACCAATAGCATTTCCTGGATGGTTTCAAGCGACGTTCTCGATTAGCAATCACTAAAGCGTGAAATTTGATGCAATTATTCAAATGATATCCTATTACTCAACTGGAGAAGATATATTGCAAGGAACCTGATGATTAAACGCACCGGTTTCTGCCCAAGAGTCGCAACACTCTGCTTAATTAAAGTTATTCTCGGTCTGCTGGCCACCCCATCGAAATGAGCTTCTGGTCAGAATCTAATTTCTGAATTTATAGTGTCTTGAAAGGATGACATGCGTGTCCTGAGAGTATAACAAATATTGGCCTGCATGGCCGAGTCCTGCCATGATTGCAAGCTGCCAGAAGCTGCCCTTCAAGCCCGGCCGAAGAGGACATTAGCGGCTGATTTACGCGCTCCCCGAGTCCTGGGCGGCACCTGATGCAGAGTCTGATTATTCAGCCGAGTCTCCTTCGCCCACATGAGCTCCACGCCCCGTGTTTCAGCTACCCACCTTGGCCGGGCTGAAGCACGAAGGAACCTTCAGCACGTTTGACAGTCATGGCCCTGACGCCGGTGTAGTACTCGGACGAACTGCTCAGCGAGAGCTGCACCTGTCTCTTATACACATCTAGATGTGTATAAGAGACAGATGTAAGTGTGTTATAAGAAGGAAAGGTTATNAGGGACGTCCTCTAGGACGCTATAGACGTTCTGGGACGTTAGTGACGTCCAGGGACGTACTGGGACTTGATGGAGGCCATGATCTTGAAGCCGGTGGCCTCGGTCTCGTCCTGCTGCCAGCGGACCAGGTCTGCGTTGACCTCAGCGAGGACGAAGGGGACGTCGTAGGGCAGGAGCACGTTGCCGCGACGTACCGCCTCCAGCGACGCCGGCCCGCACTGGTACAGTCCTGCCGCACGTCGGGGACGTTAGGGGACGTTTGGGGACGTCGGGGATATTAGGGGACGTTATGGATGTTAGGGGACGTCGGTGTCGCCAGGGGACGTTAGGGGACGTTAGGGAACGTCGGGGATGTTAGAGGACGTCAGAGACGTAAGAGGGGACAAAGATTCATCTTCAAAGGGACAATACGCGGCATGAAATGGACGTTAAGATGGATTATTTTAAGGAAAGGCTTATCCATTGGAGCATTGAGCTTACTAGCTGATATTGATATACTGTATATCCCGTGATATACTTTGATGTCTATGGATGCTTTAAGGATATCAAAGGACATCCCGGGATATCCTTGGATATAAGAGAAACTGACGCTAATAAATGTAAACTTCAAAAACTTGATTGAAGTTTTTGAACTTTTGAAAAAATTTGAACTTGAACTTGAAACTTCAGCTAATTTTAGCTAATATAAAACGCTGATTGGCTGAAATTCTTGTGCTTTGATTGGTCCATTGGTCTTTCAGTGGGCATCAGAAAAACATCCAAAATCCCCACAATATCCCCCAATATCCCCCCAATATCCCCCGATATCCACCATCGCTGGTCTCCTGCGGCGTGGCATCAATGGCTTGCCATCCACCGTATCCACTGGGCAGGTCCGGCCGCGCCATCCACGCGTCGTTCCACACGTGGAAATTCCAGATGGAATCTCCTAATCCTGATGGATTCTCAGCGTCTGGGTTGAATCTGGAGGAGAAATCCACGGCTGGATTAGTGACACAGGGCAACAATATCCTTTAAAACAATATCCTTTGGATTAAAAATCCACAGGAAAGCAATATCCTTCCTTTGTATCCACATAACTGGCCAAAAATAGCGATTATTTTTAACCAGACTCGAGAAATTTCAAAATTGAAATTCAAAGTTTCAAATTTGTTTATTATTTTATTGAAAATTTCTAAGTTCTGCAATGGGTTGAGAAGGCAGAAACTTGAGCGGGTATGGGTTGAGGAGGCTATGGGTTGAAAAAAGGTTGAAAATGTATTGAAAATATGTTGAAAATAGGTTAAAATGCATTGAAAATATGTTGAAAATACGTTGAAAATAGGTTGAAATAAGTCGAAAAAGGTTGAAAGTCGGTTGAAATCGGTTGAAAATATGCTAAAAAAGGTTGAAAATATGTTGGGAATAGGTTGAAAATTAGTTGGAAATACGATGAAAATACGTTGAATATAGATGAAGACAGGTTGAAAACAGATTCAAAATACGTTGAAAATCCGTTGAAATATGTTGGAAATACGTTGAAATATGTTTAAATAGGTTGAAAATAGATTGAAAATAGGTTAAAAATAGGTTAATAATAGCTTGAACATATGTTGAAAATAGGTTAAATGTAGATTGAAAATAGTTTGAAAACATTTGTAAAAATAGTGTAAAATAGGTTGAAAATAGTTTGAAAATAGGTTAAAAATAGGTTTAGGTTAAAAATAGAATGAAAATAGGTTGAAATAGGTAGAGAAAGACAGTAGCTGGGAATGGGTCGCCGTGACCCACTTGTAGCCATGACCCACTTGTAGTCCTCGCCTTCCTTGGTGAAGAACTCGTCGATGGTGAGGGAAGAGTTTGTGTCGTGCGCAGAGTTGAGG